TCCTTCCGATCCCCTGTGCTGCCTCTGAACACTCATTTGCCTAGAAAGATGATATGAAGAAGGTGGCCCAGTATTTTAAAACAATATAAACAATACTAATAACCTAACAATATCATTAACAAAATCAATTATACTAACAATAACATTAACACAAACGATAATAACAACACATAATCAATCCACAAGCATCCATTCGTAATTATTATCTCTTACAAATTGGAGAAATTAATTGCAAATTTCACCACAAATTCAAGTTGCCAGCATTTAATGTGAAATAAATTTGCAAATTCATTGAAAATCTTAACAGACGCAAACGAAGATCAAATGAGACGTATAGAAACGATGAAATTGTATCATATAAATAATCATTCCGGTCTGCAACCGAATACAACCAAATAACAAAGCAATGAAAAATGTTTCAAAATGAATCTTTATCATAAATCTTCAAAAATTCATGATGCACACAATAATTGGAATATGAGAAAATAACAACTGATACACTGTAATAGCGAATAATAAAGATACACGATAATAATAATGGTGAATTCCTCCGATAAGTTAATGCTATGCATTTTTCTTGAAACCATATTTCTTACGCTCGTAGAAAAGATCCGTTTTTGCACTGCCCAAGTTCACAATTTTCGGACATCCATCACGATCCTTCTCCATTAGCGTACACTCCTTGCAGTAGTACGCATCACTCACACCCGAGCCACCACAGATCACACAACGACCCTGAAACACACCACAATTCACTTATATTTCTTGTTTACTCCTTGAAAAATACCATGATGCTTTAATACCAGTCAAATAACGCATTCCAGGCACAATACCAGAATATCAATCTCCAAAAAATTCGAACAGAATTTCAAAGTATTCCAATTTCATGCTATAGCCATCTCCCCAAAAGTTCCTCAATCAAAACCAGACCAAACCTGATATGATCCATAATTGCATTCATCGCAGATCCTCACTAGTGTGCAAGGCCTTACGTACGAATCGCATATCACACATCGTCCATCACCTAAACGGATTCACAGGTAATCCTTGAACTAACTTATGCCACCAGAATTAATTTCTCATTGCGTAATACCACCTAAATTAGTTGTCGGGAATGAATTTCATCTCAAATTGTGTTGAGATACTCAAATAATTTAACTTATCACAAACACAATACATCTTATTCATACCAATTAACATAATGCTTAAATTTCCATACTTTAAGCCAGAATCACTACATTCTGAACTGGATTTAATATTATCTATCCAAAACAACGGTTCGTATAACAAGTGAAGAATTCAGAGAAGCAATTTGGCCAGAAATAAAATCGAGAACATCGA